TGTCCTCACTGAACATGGTCACGTGCTTCATGAGTGCACACAGGTCGAACACCGCCACGAGGATCGTGAACACCGAGCACCACATGCAGGTCCAGAAGTAAAATGGCATGAATTCGATGTCGACTGCAATGGCGAGGTCGTAGACGACCAAGGTGTAGGCCAAGAAGGGACCCGTAGCTCCAAGGATCGACAAAGGTTGGCCCGCAAATGTTGAGAAGATCAAGCCCGAAATCGAAGTACTCATGATCATCTCCAACACTCCGAATTGGCCGTTCGTGCCATCTAGGAACCGGCTGCCGAATGTGATCGCAGGGGCAAGGGCTGCTATGAACCTGACTTCCCCATTACTCAAAAAATCGATCGTCGAGGATACCATTTCAGATAAAGAGTAAAGTACAAGAACCAGGCTGTGAAGATCCAAGGAGCAGATACAAGATTGAAGACACCGACTTTTGGAAGTTCTCTGGCAAGAAGGCATCCGTCCAATCACTGCAAAATAGCGGCGCCCTTCTGCGAATGTCAAGCCGCAATCCCCCGGCTATGCGCCCAGTGAAATCCAGCGGCCCGTAATCTGTCTTCGCGCTGTGAGAGATGTATCCGGACTCGTAGCGGTACACGGCCTCGGCCTCTGTCATTGTTGCGGCTCGGTGAAGGCGGGCGGCGAAAGCAAGGGCTGAGCTTTGGGCCAGAATAGCAACCCAGAGACTCCAATATCCCTAATTAAGGAATATACCTTAAATCATATTAAGGATCCTACTATCATTTAAGGAATATCCCTTAATTAAGGGATATCGGAGTCTCTGGGTACCAAGAATGCGCAAGGCTGCGATGACTTCACGGACAGTAACCGTCAAGTCCTGCCATAGTCTCCATTGTAGCTCTTTTTGGGGGATAGCTTATAAAATCCTACTTAATATATATATATATATATATATATATCTGGTTAAACCAAAAAAAAGGGAACTACAATGGAGACTACAGGTGCTCTCCGCTCTTGGGGCCTCGGAAAGAGGCAGAGCCCAGGCTGGCCCGGGGCCCTCTCCCGCGCTTTAGGATTCCCAGAGGCTCCACATATGGTACCACTGTTTAGGGTTTAGGGTTTAGGGTTTAGGGTTTAGGGTTTAGGGTCTAGGGTTTAGGGTTTAGGGTATGGAATTAAGTCCCAAACGACCATCCTTATGAAGGCTCCAGGGACCTAATTCCACAATGGTACTATATTTGGAGCCTCTGGGATGGCGTGGATAACATCTGCTCATCTACAGACTGAGATGGATAAGTCATGAAGTAAAGCACACGATCTGACGTAACATGTTATACTGCAGTCTGACAGAGCCCTAAACCCTCCCGTAAACTCTGATTCCGCCAGGCCTTGACATGACCCTGTGCGGTGCTTCGCAGCGCAGGGCCGCGGGTGGTGCTGGGCGCGGTGACGAAGGCCGTGCCTGGGTTTAGGGTTTAGGGTGTGGGGTCATCAGCGCAACTCCCACAGCCGGCTACAGATCGGTGCTGCTGAAGTTCGCCTTACGATGCACATATATGTGGCTTCCTTAAGTTGACCTGGGATACCACAACAAGCATACACTGCATATGCATAGAAACAGAGAGAGCGAATGACATGTGACATGCGTTCCTCATTGTGGTTGCTGAAATTTATTTCCTGTTCGGCGTTACACGGACTGAAAGGTTCATGGCTTGCGAGCACGGTTGATTGTGAGCACCTTGATGAGGCCTGCTTAACTTCCCAAACCTGGGAGAAAAGCTCTGCAGCAGCCCCATTGCCTTGTCCGTGTGATCCAGGCATCTGCTCGAGTCTTTAGGATCTGCAGGATTTAGTGCTTTTGGGATGGAGATTTTGGGGCTGTTAGGTTTCAGTACCCTAAACCCTAAACCCTAAACCCTAAACCCTAAACCCTAAACCCTAAACCAAATAAAAGGCAAGACGCAGCCCGCTGCGGCCACTGCCGCGACGGCAATCTGCTGGGTCGAGGGAGCCTCAGCACAGACCCATGAATAGGTTTAGGGTTTAGGGTTTAGGGTTTAGGGTTTAGGGTTTAGGGTATAGAGTTTAGGTTTTTAGGGTTTAGGGTTTAGGGTTTAGGGTTTAGGGTTTAGGGTTTAGGGTTTGGGGTTTAGGGTTTAGGGTTTAGGGTTTAGGGTATAGAGTTTAAGGTTCTCTAAAGCAGGGTACCTTTTAGGGTCCTTTGTATAAGGGTGCGGTACTATATTGCGGACCTAGGAAGGGACCCTAATTTAGAGAACTGCCCCCATGACTATCCCGACCATCGTCAGAAGGGCTTCCGGTTCCGATGCGCCGAGACTTCGAAGAAGCTTCAGCGGCTTTACCCAAGCGGTGCTCTATGTGCAGATAATATGACAGCGGCTCATGGTATACAACTTAGCTACTTACACTCATTATCGTGGTTTCTCCAAAGCTGGGATCAATGTCGAGGATGAGTCGAGCCCTTGCTTTCGAGTCATATTGAGCCGGGTGCCAATTCCTCTTCTGATTTCTGGGATGGGGCCCAAAGATTCGACGGGGCGTTCCGACTTAGAAGCTTCGGAGATTGGACGCTGCGCAGGACGCTGTGTCCAAATGAAAGTCGTGGTTGGGGTTTAGGGTGTAGGTCATAGTAGGGTATAGGATTTAGGGTTTAGGGTGGAGGCGCAAGGGTTTGGGGTTTAGAGACAAAAAAGGGCGTAGAGCTCGTGAAGCTCTCCATTACAGGCGCTGGAGAGGCAACGAGGTGAAGATGTGGTGGCAAGTAATGTCAGCCTTGCGCTCAACCCCCTCAACCAAAGGGGCACGGCTGGGCTGAAGGGTGGATTTAGGGTGACAAGCAGAAAAGGAGATCACCTCCAAGGCCCCGCAACTTCTCACGTCACCCTACCATAGCGGGGTCCTTCTTACAAAAATCTCAATGAAACGATGGTTTAGGTCTTAAGGTTTAGGGCTTAAATTGGGGTTTAAGGTTTAGGGCCCTAAGTTTCTGATCGTCCCCAAGAAGTTGCTGTCCGAGGCACCATGGTTGTTCCTAATCTCGTGCAGGAAAGGACCAGGGTCTGCACTCTGTTTCGCCAGCGATGGCTGCGGCAGGCGTCCCAGCCCAGTATCCAAGCGGCTGCTTATGATACAGCTGTTAAGGAAAATCCCTAAACCCTAAACCCCTAAACCCTAAACCCCTAAACCCTAAACCCCTAAACCCCTAAACCCTAAACCCTAAACCCTAAACCCGAATGTAACCTCCTCTACCCGCCTCCCCTCAAATCCCCCCGCCCTGAACAACACTTCAAGACTGAAGCCTCCGCACAGACACCGGTTTAGGGTTTAGGGTTTAGGGTTTAGGGTTTAGGGTTTAGGGTTTAGGGTTTAGGGTTTAGGGTTTAGGGTTTAGGGTTAGGGTGTACCGCCATGGTTGCTCAAGGTTGTGTTTAAGGGCGGCTATAAGAGCTGCTGGCTGGCCTCCTGTTCCAGCTATGGCACCTTGTAAAAGCGCTAAGACCCTGTGCCAATACAAGGAGTCCAAAAACTAACCGGACACCCACCAGGTACTGCAACCTGAACCCGAACTTGACGGATCAGTGACCTTCGTAAGGACTCTTTCCGGCTTGGATAAGGTGTGTCAGGCGTGTAGGGGTTAAGGTGTCGGTCCACTTAAACAATCAGGGGACTTAGGAACTCGGAAACTACACTTGCCATTACATGCAATCTTAGTTCAGGTGCTGATAGCCATTATGAATATCCGCCACAAGACTCGACAAACCCCTTTTCCAGAAACCCCTTCCAGCACGGAGAGCAGGCAGCCTTGCTTGTTACAACCCTAAATGAAGTGCTTATAACCATACTTCGAACTTATATCCATCCTTTTCACTGCAGTACCCATGAACTTTCAAGGGGCCCGAACCCGGACTCCCAGCCGTCTTGCTGAATTCAGCTCCTGGTTTCATCTTCTACAGTCAAGCGTCGCCCCAATTAAGGAGCCCGGTTGAAGTTAGCATAGTAGTGCTACATGGCGAAAGCTTCTGCAGTTCCCCGGCGCCTGCTTAAAAGCATCGGACCCTTTGCTTGAGAACATCATCTGCAAAAACCTGAGAGTTCAGGCCATAGAGTGCCGGGTTCGAGCTTTGCAGCTTGGAGATCGGGGCCATGATTGTTAGAAGAAGCTCTTGGTGGACGCTACCATGTAATTGTACACTCCGGCTTCTATACCGCTGAGAGCTGGAGATTTGGAGTTTAGGCCAGTTTAGGCTTCAGGGCTTAGGGTTTAGGGTTTAGGGTTTAGCCGGGGGCTTATAGGGTCTTTGGAACTATGGTATGTTCCTTGCAATGGTTGCCACCTGCCTCAAAATATGGGGATCAAAAACTGGTCGTGCAGGATTTTCTCTCCATCAGCGTTGCCACGGATTGCAGCTTTGTGAGCTTCGCAAGAACTGTCTGCACCTATGAGCAATGCTACTTGATGTTGGTCATTCGTCATCATCGACATGGTAAAAGTATGAACATTCGTCATCATACGAATCATAGCTACGATCATTACAAGTGGTGCTATTGCGTGATTAATATTAGTATTACTATTACTATTACCATGTTTTACTGTTATAGATCATACTAACGATGGATGATGCGATACTACCCTGACTCCCAATTCTGCCCTCTCTCCACATTATACCAAAACCTACCTCAAAGCCCCTCTTCCAACTCTTCGGGCCGCTGATATTAGCGTTAAAACGAATCCTACGATAAATCCTTGCTGAAAAATACCTAAACCCTAAACCCTAAACCCTAAACCCTAAACCCTAAACCCTATAATATGCATAGATTCCCTAACCCCCCTATCTCCACCTCAAGACTTCGGGCTGCGGGTTCGGGAGGCTCCGGGGTCTTGCGCTCAGAGTTTGGGGGCTTATAGGGTTTAGGGTTTAGGGTTTAGGTTTTAGGGTTTAGGGTTTAGGGTTTAAGGGTTTTGGGCTTAGGGAGTTGGGGGTCTTAGGATGTAGGCTCCAGCGTCAGCGTCGAGGGTTATGGAGGTTTGGAAGTTGGGAGTAAAACGTCTAGGGCTTGAGGGTTTGAGGGTTGTGCGGGTTTTAGGAAAACCTAGACCCCTTGTGCCCCTAAACCCCTAAACCCCTAAACCCCTAAACCCCTAAACCCCTAAACTCTCTAAACCCTAAACCGCTAAACACCTAAACCCCTAAACCCGTAAACCCTAAACCCGAAACCTTAAGTCGCTGTGAGGACAAGCCACTTCTGTCCGTGGATGTGTCGGTCACACGTCCGAGCCTTAGGGTTTAGAGTTTAAGGTTATTTTGGGGCTCCTTAATATACCTATAGTATCATACCACCCAAATCCCCTATTCAAACGATTAAAACCTTCTGACAAGTACAACCCCCGTCCTAACATACTGTGGATTATGATTAGGATACCCATAGGCTCCAGGCTCCATTGTAATTCCTTTTTGTGGCTCATGTTTAGGATCCTATAAGGTCATCCCAAAAAGGAACTACAATGGAGCCTATGAGTAAGGTGTCCTTCAAGAATTCCACGCGGGGGGATCCTTGCACTTCAAAGGGTCTGGGACAAGCACAAGCCTGGGCTTAGGGCTTGGGGTTTGGTGTAGGGGCCTAAATAATCACCAA